CCGGAGGAGTTGAGTTAGAGTATGAACAGCGTATACTGCTTCTGTCAGTTTAGGACGCTGGCCGTGACAGACCAGTATTTCATTGCGAAAACGACTGCGTAGCTAACTTTGCAATTTTTACGGTTTTAAGTGCTGCAAACACGATGTTTCCAAGTGAGCAGTGAGCTCGATTTGGAAGTTGTAAAAGGTACTTGCAAAGCTTGCTTCAGTACAGCGACAGTTCAGCCGTATAATCATAAAAAAAGTTTTGTGGTGGACTATGATACGGTAAAAACCTTGACCTGTATTTTTTGATGGTGATGTTGTTTGAGACTTCAGGCTCTTGTTATATGTTGGCAGAACCAGAGAAGACACTGAGATGTGGCCTTGTGGTTTTCATTTCCTACTAGATCAACCCAACAGAATTGACAGAGTTGATCGTTTAACGGAAGAAAGTCGAACAAAAAGAATGAATTTTGAGTGTTGTGGACCGGCGACATTTTCTTTGTGTTATTGTAGTATTATCGGTCAAATAATCAAATAGTTTTAAAATGAACGGTACTTGGAAGGGAAAAGTCTGAAACTAAATAACAAACTTGTGACTTACTCGTTTTGGAAACTATAAGAAAAAAAAGTATTTGCAAGTATAATAACAAGATTAAATTTTGTGTTATTCTGTAGAATACAATTACTATTACCAACAAATTCATCATTTAACAAACTCCAGCCTCATGATTATAAAAGGAAAAAACGCACATGTAAAATACAAAAAAAGATTCTGCACACAAACTGGTGACATTTGATCATTGTTTTTTCCAGTTTAGATGAGCACGAATAAGTCGACTGTTAAAGTCTGGAGTCGAATTCTGCATCCAAACCACAAATTTTATAGGGTCCTTGCAAGATCAACGTTATCTAATGTTGAAATATCTCATGCACCTACTGTACGTATATTCATGTTTTGCTTTTTTTTTCCTGCACTGTCACTGTACTAACTGAATACATTTTGCCATATGAAAAATTTACGCTTTGCAGACAATGATAAAAAAAAAAATTGCTTTAAAAAAGAGGAGGCAATATAAAACTGGCAGACTTTGTTTGTTGTATAAAAAGCTAGAGAGATTTGAAAAAAAAAAAAGATTATGTACAATATTTTGTTTGTTTTACGCTTTTTAATGGCGTTACAAAAATTTAAGTTCTTTTTCGCTAACAGTTGCCGAACCACCTGAACTAACTAAGTGTTCCCAAATTTGCTTGACAAGAGTTAATGCATTGGAAATTTTATCATACTGTTTCTTTTTCAGGATTATTGTCATCTTTGTACTATCATCCAAAATATCTTTCTAGCAGTTTAAACATTGACAAATTTGTGTTTGCGTGTGTGGGTGTGTTTTTTTTTCTTGATACAGTATAATCGCAAATTTTCCATGAAATTTATTGTTTGACCAAGACCAATTGTGCTTGGAAAGGGAATTGTTTGGCTGGAAATTAAAGAATCGAAAAGTTATCGTATGACATTGATAATAACTTGCCAAAACTACAAATTAAGTGGTTTGCAGCAGGATTTGTTTCCAAAATTTTATTGCTTTTTCCAAACAGTTAGAAATACTAAAAAGGTAACAGTTACCTGGCATTTAGTGCCGTTAATTAACCATCACAAAACTGTCTTCATTATTTCTGTAACCTATAGGATATTGAAAGATCTGTGAGATCAACAATTACAGTATGCTTTTTCTTCAAATTTTAATAAATGATAAAGGAAAAAAAGAAGGGAGAAAATCAATGAAGAAATGTGAAGATGTTAGAAGGAATACGTATTTAAGTGGAATCCGCTAAGCACAAAATATGAATGGCAAAAGTTGCCTCATTTTACTGGAAACCTACGAAGATAACTGCCTAAATTAATAGAACAAAAAAGAAAAAGTATTTTTTTTACTCATTGAAAATAACATTATGTTAAAATTTAAAAAAAAAAAAAATTATTTTTTTTTATTTTTAGTTTCCTTCAGTTTTTGTAACGGTGAGTGCAGAAAAATTTATCTATTACAATAAGAGATCTCATATCTCTGCAACGATAATAAGACACCATCAGTTTATCTTCTTTATTTTTTTTTAGACACCAATAATTTCCTTGTGCAATAAATTTAATAAATCAAAAACGAATAAATTAGCGTAGCAAAAAAAAAAAAATTTTTCTTTGAAAGTTTAATAAAAAATCAAAATGTCTTAAAACAGCAGAAAAAAAGTGTTCCAAAATACTATTGCTGTTTAATAGTTATTCAAATAAAAAAAAAAAGTGTTAAACAATAAAAATAGCACTTAATGGTGCTAAAAGTTCGTGAAAAAAAAAAAGAAATTTATGAAGAAACTATAGTCACAACTATTCATTGATCATC